ATACAGGCCTATTTAATTTTGGTAAGAATTTATATTATTATCATTATTATGGTAATTGTTTGACAATAAAATAATTTCATTTAGAAATTGAATTAATGGTTGGAGTGACTAAAGATGAGGGACCACTGTTAGCAGTAATGCTTTTTCCCGAAATGAGAGCACCGGGACTAACAGTCGAGACATTCAAAAATGTTGTGAATAGACTGTACGATGAATACCGTAATATAGATGTGGAGGAAGTGTCCGATTATTATCTCAAAAGTATTGACACAACAAATGAGTCCCAAATGAAGGGAGCGTTGAGTGCACTCTATGGGGATCTGGTGTTCACGTGTGCGACCTATCACTTCGCCAAACAATTTGCCAAAAGTGGACAAAATGTCTATTTTTATAGATTTAATCAGCAGAGTAATTTCTATGCAAACTTGGGATTCACTGTGTGTTCAGGTGATACCATATGTCACGGCGCAGACCTCCCTTATGTGTTTGGGTCACCACTTGTTTCCCAAAAGATGTTCACAGAAACTGATTATGATTTCAGTATTGAGATCATGAAGATGTTAACTGATTTTGCCAAAAATGGGTCAGAATTGTTAAATGAAACACTTAATTCAATATAAATATATAAATTAATTTTATGTTTATAATTACAAATAATTTATTCATTATTTTGTCGCATTTAGTAAACCACACAATGTTTGGCCGAAACTAATAGACATTTCGGACGCGAATTCAGTGCCAAAAGTGAAAGACTTGAATCCCAACGATATGTCACTTGTTTTGGACAATCCTTACGGAAGTACTTGTGATGGCATTTGGAGCAATTATTTTTGATAAATAAATACAAAAATAATAAGAAAATAATAATAACTTATGAAATGATTAATATTTTAGTACGTTTCTGAAGTTACTTATACTTAATACAGAAATTAATTTAAATATGTAATTACTTTTACAGTATAAATTTACATAAGAAATTTATAAAATAAAATCACGCAAAATATTTATACTAGCAATGTATACTAAATGTGGCACAATTTAACCACCGATTTATTCATGAAAGCCGTAAAATAAATATGTGGATGAAGTTTCCGATTATTATCTTAAAAGTATTGACACATAATAGGAGCTCTTGGACTTTCATATAACTCAAGTACATAATGTACCTGGTTATCAGTATATAAATGTGTAGAAGATTATTAATTGTAATAAAGTGTTGTTTATAGGAATGACATTGAAACATAAACGTTATAACTTACAGTACAAACAGATAATTGAATTGTAAGTGCGTCAAGGACAGTTACTCTATTACAATAGTATTTAAGAAAATTTTATTAATGTTCCAGTTTCATTTTAAAATTTTTCCTTATTTGTATGTTTTATGAATTGAAATGTGTAAAACTAAATCATATGTTTAAAATGATTTTAGCAAATAAATTGTGTTTTGTATTAATGGTGTGTTTAATTGAATGGTGTGTTTGCGATGAGAGTAATAGTGTTGTCGTGAATACGAGTTCGGGTGGAGTGAGGGGACAGACACTGAATGTTGTGAATCACTTCATCAATCAATTCTTGAATATACCTTATGCTGAGCCCCCGGTGGGCCCACTCAGGTTCAGTCCACCACAACCACTCCAGACACCCAAAAAGGTATTTAAAAAATTATTATAATAAAATATAATAAAATTAGTTAGTTTTAACGTCAATAAACAGGATGTAATTGATGGCACAGTGGAGGGTAACTCATGCATACAAATACAAAGTCCATTGTTTGTACAATTGATGGGTAAACTGACCACAAGTGAGGATTGTTTAGTACTAAACATATGGACACCTAATGTGGACAAAAGTGCATCAAAATCACAGCTAAAACCTGTTATGTATTGGATATACGGCGGGGCACTTACTGTTGGATCAGTATTTCAAAAGTTTTATAACGGGAGTGTTTTGGCCACCAATGATGTGGTCATTGTTTCCGTTAACTATAGAATCGGACAGTTAGGCTTTTTATATGGTGGCGATCAGACAGCACCCGGTAATCTGGGATTTTATGACCAACTGTTAGGACTGAAATGGGTATATATTTTAGTTATTAATTACTATTAGAATGTTTGACAAAAGAACATAAATTTAACTTTTTTACAAACTATAACTTATTGAATATAATTGTTATTTACTTAATGTTATTAATAGGTTCGAGATAATATTCATCAATTCGGTGGAGACAAGGATCAGATTACTGATAAACCACTCTCGCGGCCATCAACCAGGTGTAGCCGTGTGGATGAGAGTGGGGATAGATTTCCAGAGAAATTCTCCCGATATCAGGTCTCGCCCCGACTTTACAAAGTATTCCTATCTGGTCAAAAGGGAACTGTAGAGGCGTTGAGTAAAGCCAAAGAAACGGCCCGTAAATTGGGTTGTGATCCGTATGACCACAAATGGTTGGACTGTTTGCGAGCCATTGAAAACCCGGACCTATTTCTTGAACCGACTGAGGCTGAAGTTGGTTTTGGTGTCACGTGGCCTGTGTTTGGCACTGAATTCCTACCCGTTTTACCACAAAAGGCTTTTAAAACTAATAAATATAATTCCGGTGAATACAAAATGGTTTAAAAATATAAAAGTTTTAATTGATATAAAAATTTATGGATTAGATGTGGATGTGATGGCCGGTGCGACCAAAGACGAGGGTCATGTGCTAGCCGTCAGTCATTTCCCACAAATGAGGTCTGAGTTCAATAAAAACAAATTTCACGAATTAATAGAACTCCAGAGAGAGATCTACCATAACATAGACGTCCAGAAAATATCCGATTATTACCTCCAGAATAGAGACCCCGAAAATCCTAATGACTTACAGCAAGAAATAAAAACAAATTTCACGAATTAATAGAACTCCAGAGAGAGATCTACCATAACATAGACGTCCAGAAAATATCCGATTATTACCTCCAGAATAGAGACCCCGAAAATCCTAATGAGAATGTCGTTCGAAAGCTAGTTGAAATACCACTATACAACTATCACACGGGGTGGATACCCAAACGGTTTTCTAAACAGTTTTCACCAGCTCTGCAGATAAAAATATCTAAATTAATAGTCTGTTTACTGTTTGCAATGCTTGGTTGCGATGAACACACCATATGTCACGGCGCAGAACTCCCCTACGTTTTTGGTGATCCCGTTAGGACTCCTCAAATGTTTACGGAAACGGATTATGATTTCAGTTTAGAAGTTATGAAGATATGGACTAATTTTGCAAAAAATATGTGAGTTGTGCTCGATTATTTTTGATTGAAATGTTTATTTGCATAATTTATTAAATCGATAGAAAAGCACACAATGTTTGGCCGAAACTAATAGACATTTCGGACGCGAATTCAGTGCCAAAAGTGAAAGACTTGAATCCAAACGATATGTCACTTGTTTTGGACAATCCTTACGGAGATATTTGTGATCAGGCTTTTGGTGCTCATACCCACCTGTGTATTATTTTTGGGCAACATGTCCCCCAAATAATGGCTTACAGTATATGTGAGTGGGCCACAAAAAAAGCATGTGACAAATTCTCGTATCAAACCTAACAACTATGTCTTAATACTAGGGCAGGCGAGAGAGAGAGAGAGAGAGAGCACCGGGACTAACAGTCGAGACATTCAAAAATGTTGTGAATAGACTGAACGATGAATACCGTAAGAGAGAGAGAGAGAGAGAGAGAGAGAGAGAGTCTATACGTGTAAAAAGTGTTTGAAATTTTGATTCATTTTATTGTGAATCATTTTTATCGCTAATCTCTTTTAATCTCTTTTCACAATTTGTGTTCAAAAAATATATTCATCGATTAAATTCAAAAATTAAAAGATAAAATGAATATTTCAACATTTTATTCATGCAAAATACTTTTAATTACAAATAAATATGACGCAGGGAAGTTTATTGGAGTTGATTATCAGCAAATAATACTTTAAATAACTAGTTGTATGAATAAAATGATTAAATATTCATTTTATCTATTAATTTTTGAATTTAATCGATGAATATATTTTTGAACCAAAATTATGAAAAAGAGATAAAAGAGATTAGGGGTCATCCACAAAGTACGTACGCAAAATTTTGGTCAAAAATTAACCCCCCTCCCCCCTACACGCCCATCGTACATAGGAGTTTAACATGGGAACATACGCTTTAACATGACTCCCCCTCCCCCCTAGGCGTGCGTATGTACTTTGTGGATCACGCCTTAGCGATAAAAATGATTCACAATAAAATGAATCAAAATTTCAAACACTTTTTACACGTATAGGACATATAGGACAGTAAATGATATTTATTTTGTCATTTGTCAAACCAATACACTATAACATCAGTACCAATACAATAAATACAGTTGTACCACATTACAATTACATTATACGCCCATTTTGACCACCTGTCTCATTGGACTTTGGAGCGAATACCTTGGTGAAAATAAATAAACATAAAAGGATATACATTTACTTAAAAATAATTAATGCAAAAATATAAGGAAATAATATAATTGAATTATAAATTGAAAAAAGTAATAAAATATTTTATTTGCAGAAAAGTTGTATTTGATATATTATTTATAAATTTTAAGTTATTATATCAAAATTATATCAATTTAATAAATGATCTAAATTCAAACATTAAATTTAATTGAAAATAATTTCATTATATTTTTATATACAAAGATAATTTTCTAACTTATAATTATAATTTATAAATATCAATTATTTTTAAAACTACTTTTGAATAAAGTAATTATTATTGGTAATTTGTTAGTGCATTTTTAGTGTATGTAGTTTCAAGGGTACCTTTTAAAGTGCAATAAATTTAAAAATATTAAATATACATAAGTATATAATTACTTTATAAAGTTAGTGTAAAGTTAGTAAGTTACAACATTTATTGCAACTAATATATTATTTATTGAAAGTTTACACATGAACTCAATTTAGTAATTGTGTTGAATGAGACAATGAAAGTGATGACAATATCAACGATCAGATTAGATGTTTAGCCAATGACTGTTCAAATCTCAACAATTTTGATCTCATAATGTACCCGGTTATCAGTATATCAATGTGTAGAAGATTGTTAATTTTAATAAAGTGTTGTTTATAGGAATGATATTGAAACATAAACATTATAACTTATAGTAAAAACAGATAAGTGAATTGTAATTGCATCAAGGACAGTTTATTCTATTACAATAGTATTTAAGAAAATTTTATTAATGTTCGCATTTTATTTTAAATATTCATTCTTATTTTTATGTTTTATGAATTTAAATGTGTAAAAATAATCATATGTTTAAAATGTTTATTAATAATAAATTGTGTTTTGTATTAATGGTGTGTTTAATTGTTCGGTGTGTTTGCGATGAGAGTAATAGTGTTGTCGTGAATACGAGTTCGGGTGGAGTGAGGGGACAGACACTGAATGTTGTGAATCACTTCATCAATCAATTCTTGA